TGCAATGTCTCCCAGGGAGTAGCAGAGAGAGAGAGGTGTCTTCCACCTCCAAGGAGGAAGTACCAGATTTCCCAGAATTCTCGGGAGAAGGCCAGGCCCACAGAAATCTCATTGGCTATCTCCAGATTGACAGCCTAGACTCCACCCCTACACTCTTAATCCTTAAATTGACACCAGATTAGGTGACTATCACAATGAGATATGGGAGCTCTGGGATAAGCACAGGACACAAGAATGGAGGTGATCTCCATGCAGGTCCATGGGCCCCATCTCGGTACTTGGAGATCCTGAACACGGCTTGGCATGGCCTGAAGCTGATTCTTAGGACACGGAAAGTTGGCCAAGTCTACACAAGCATGATCTGAGTAGACTTATACCCCATGACCCTGGGTCCCTGAGGAGGGCATCTCCATGAGGAGACCACAGAGGATGTTGGCTGCCTCATGAAGAAGAGTCACTTGGACATTCTTAACATGATAATACACACTACTAAAATAGTTGTAGAAAATCTTGCTACCAATAGTAATTACACTAATAAAAAACATTACTACTAGTAGTAGTAGTAATGGTACTGTTTTGATGTACTTTGCAAAGTAGCACCCATTTATTATTATGAACCATTGAATTTACCTCAAAATTTGAATATATTAAGCTTTACAAGGTTTGGATTGTACCTACAGGTTGTATATAAATTGTGTGCTTTTAATCTGGTAAGTGCCTACATTAATGAAGTGTGCTGATCAATTATAGCAGAAGAGAATCAAGGATTTCAATGAAGTAACCTTGGATGGAAAAATGTCAAGAACGAAATGAATTAAAAAAAATGAGTAAGGAAGAGAAGAGCTCTTTAGAAACTACCAGGTAACAGGAAGACATAAGAGGTCCATTTAGAATTCTATAATATCAAACAATATTAACAATAATGACAATAAAATAATTCTAGGAAACATACCCATTACAATTGCATGTTCCCCAAATAATCCAACTAAGAATACATGTTTTGATATACTGACAAATAAGTTACTTATCTTATAAATCTTTAGCCTCCAAACACAAATATGAACATAATAAGCATGAAAAACCATACACATACAGATTTTAAAGACCATAACCAGAAAATAAAAACCAAAATAATTCATCACACAAAAATGAATGAGGATGCAAGAGGAAACCCTGACACTCCAAAATAAACTAAGTATTCTCCATGAAGCAAATAAAGATGCAGGATCGAGGAGGAAAGGAACATAAATCCAGAAAATTTAAATGAGAACAGGAATAAAAAAGAAATGATATTATGAAATAATGTGGGTATATGTGAAAATATTCTACTGAGCTTTTAAAAAAATAATAAAATACATCTTTTTAATATTCATCCTATCTGTTATATTTCTGAATATTTAGTTTTTAAGCAACTTTTTGTTTCCAGGTAGTGCCTTTTTTTCCTTCAAATCATCTTATTGGGGGCTCTTACAGATATTATAACAATCCATAAATCAACTGTATCAAGCAAATGCATACATATGTTGCCATCATCATTTTTTAAAATTATCTATTAAGCCCTTAATATCAGCTCCTCTTTTTACCCCACCCTCCCACACCCTGCCACCCTCATGAACCCTTGATAAATTATACATGTATTTATTCCTCGCCCCCACCCCCACGCCCGCAATAACCTACACTGCCCGCTGTATCCCTTCACTCACGTTTCTGTTATTCAAATTTAGATATGTCTTTTAATTTCACTGACTACA